ACCACTTTTTTTGTAAACCAGTTCCCCTCTATGGCAAGTTTTAATGTTGTGGTTTCTGTTTTATAGGGATCAGTTGTGATAAATCGTCACACATCCAATACTTGGGGAAAGGTTTGTGAAAACCAAATTACCAACTTCCTTCTGCTATTCCTGGGACCCCTCAATCTAATCATCTTTTGTCCATTTCACAGATAGAAAAATTCATTTCCAGACAAGGGCTTTGGCTTTGGTAGCATGAGATGATGGCACTCATTCTGGCTAGTATTTCCTGATTGTTCATGTAGCAGGTGTAAGTATTTACAGAGAGCTGCTATATCTGAAAGACACAACCTCATGGATAAACAGAGAAGTTCACAGGCCCTGCATCTTTCTGGAGGGATAAGAAACAGGCTTCTTGGAAGAGATGAAGTTTGAAGAATGCTTCAAGAGCAAAGGATAAGAGTGACTCACCCAAAAGATACAACACCTGCAAAGACAAAAAGGTGGTGTCCACCTCCTGGATCAGTCAGCATTGGATACATCCTAACTGGAAAACAGCAGGAAGCTAAGATCAGCAAATAAGACTAGAGCTTCTAGCCAGGTCTTTTCCTGGGTTCAGAGACAGGGTGCAGTTGAGTAAATAAATGAACATCAACGAGCCATAGCTGAGAACGATAAATGGTTCTTGAGATGATGGTAGACTCAAGAGGATGACACTGTCCTGACACTGAAGGAGCACAGAACAATCCTTGGCATGTGAGTAGTCAGCGCAAACAAATCCCCACAAAGTTCTTTGTTTCATGGTGGATGGCCAGTGCAGAGGACCATGGTACTTTAAGGTGCTCAAGGTACCACAGCACAGTCTGTGCTGTGCTCAGACTCTGACTCTCAACCACATAGATTGATGATTTTTCCCTCTGAAACAAGCCAGCACTGGGAGGAGCAATGGTTTGAGACTAGAGCTTCCGGTTCCTAGGAGATTTGTGTCAGACTTCACTCTTAGATCTACTTCTGTTACCCTCAAAACTTTTCCAAAGCATACATAGGTCTAAGCTAGGACGCTGGCGCGGGACCGAGAGGGGCTGGGGTCTTTATCCTGAGTTTAACGACTGTGGATCCTTGTGCAATTCATGTCTCGTCTCAGTCTTGCTTTTGCCAAAAGTCTGTGAAATGTGAATTCAAAGCTACAGGATGTTGTTCAGGGTTCCCATCCACGGGCATCACCCTACTTCACAGGGAGCATAGTCCAACCAGTCAGACTGCAGATGATACTTTCCTAGTCACTGAGAAATATAAAAGTCTGACTGTGTGCTTAAGTACCCTCCCTTCCATATCAGGTTCTACCACTTTCTCCATCTCACAAGAATGCCCCAGTCCCTGCCTGAGTTTTCTAACAGATTTCAGATGTGTGTGTGGAGCACTTTTACAATTACAGCCAAGACAAGCAGAAAGCTCATGACCTTATGACTCTTGACCCAGACCCGTGAGGTTGATACCTTCCTTTTCTCTCCCATTCCCTGCCCCACCACTCTGACACGCACATCAGACAGAGTGGCCTAAGACCTCCTCTGTCTGGTACTTTTGCTGACATGTTTAGTTGCTGTGATAGCAAAAGCCAAAACTACAGGTTAAGGACCAAAGACTATACCATGATGATTATTGTCGTGACATCTCCTCAGCGTGTGCTGAGAGTCAGTGATGGTAATACAGCTTCCTAAAGAATTCCCTGCCAGCAAATGGAAAACGCAAGGTTTCTACCCACTCTCCACTCTTTAGGAAGGATTGGGGGTGGGATGGAGTACAGCTCAGAGGTGGAGCAGGTGCCAGTCATGTGTAAAACCTGGGTTCAATTGCCAGCACTGCAAAAAGGCAAAACAACCCTGTGACTATGTCTTCCCAGCACGGCACTGTTGATGACGCTTGAAAGAGCAAACAGAAGAGTCGTCAAAACATGGATGGACAATGAGAAAGAAGCCTTGAACGTCTTCTAAGTCCTTCTGCCTTGAGGCTTCCAGTGTATGACACGCACTCACTGCAGCTTCTATTTGTTCTTCAGCTGCAACGTTTCTGCTACTCATGTTCTAATAAAGCACTGCAAAAATAAGTGTTCTCGCACACATCTGTATTGTATACATGGTCTTTATAAAAAGTCTGCAACTGCAAGCCATTCTTCATGCCTCGTTCCTTGTAACCCTGGAGATAACCATGCGCCGTAACATTTTCTCCATTCCGTTGATGGGGGAAACGGCAAGTGAGGAATGAGACGCCATTTTTTCAAGTTCACTGATCTTGTACAAACATTGAGTGACTTGTGCTGTGTTAAATGATGCAAACAGCCATGCTGAGCTGCGCACTTGCAGGGCCTCCAAGCTGCTTTTGGCGTCCTACCTTCAGCAGCTTCTAGATGGAAAGGACTTACCTAATTCTTTCCAATATAGCTCTTTCCTTTTGATTTTGCAAATTGCCTAGTCTTACTCTCCAGAGTTTCTTTCTTCTTTTCTCTTTCTTCATTTTGTGAAGAAGGTTGTCTCTTGTTGTTGTTTGGGGGGGAGGGTGTTGTCTTCTATTTAGTTGGGTGTTTTATGAGACAGGGTCTTGCTATGCAACCAAGGACAGCCTCAGTGTCACAACCCAGGTTGCCTCCACAATATTATAATATGTTTGTATGTCAGCATATCTAACCTCAGAGTTTCTTCTTTATCTCATCCTTGCCCCTCTACATGGCTTTCCAGAGAACACTTAACTTTTATATCCATCAACACTGAACATGAGAGACGAGTAAGTCTACCTGTCACTGACACGGTACTAAAGTAGGCTCAAAGACATAAAGTGACTTGCCCAAAGACACAGTGCAAGGGACAGAACTTAAATGGAAATATGTCTGGTCATCTCTAAACTAGGCTTCTTTCCCAACCATCACCTTCTTCCTTTGTACTGAGAAGTTCCTATTCACTGACCCTTATACCAATGACCTTGAGACTTGAGGTCATGGAGTGTCAAAGCTAGGAGGGCCTAGCTAGATGACAAAGTCCAGCCAGTGAATGTTGGAACTGGAGGGGCATAGAGTTACTGAGAGCAAGAAGGTGTAGACTACAGCAGACAACAAGCTTGACACTTTCACTCTCAAAACCTGTGACTCTGGACATGTTGCTTATTATTTTACCTTAGCTCTCCTCTCTTGAAACAGGGAAATTATAAAGATGATTATTTTAGAACAGTTTCATAAGATTAGAAAAATCCCTGAGTTGGCACTGCCTCAGCATAGCTAGGGTTCCACAAGTGTAGCTAGTTGGAATTTTATCTGTCTGCATCCAGAAGACAGTAGTTGGCAGCAATTTCACCCATGAGTTTTAGAGTCAAACAAATTTAGGTTTTAAATTGTCAGTCCTGATAATCACTATGTGATTATGGGCAAAGTACCTTTCCTTTCTGAGTCTCAAGTATAAAATAAAGAGGGGGAAATTGTACATCTCCTTTAGAATAGAATGGTGAATTAAACTGTTTAGCTCAGTGCTTGAAGAATATTATGGTTTTAGTAAATGAAAATAAATTTGTGCAAGGAATGTATATTTATTAAGTGCCTAAAATATACAGTCAATCTGGACTGACTGTTCTAACACTTCATAGTCTTGGCACTAAGTCCATTTTCTAGCACAAGCTCAATTGGGGTGCTGAGAAAGGAGGAAAGGAAACAGGGGAAGTAGGATTCAGGCTTTTCTACATAATGAAGGGAACCCTCTATCGACTTCACACATCTGCCTGTGCTCCTGGTAGAGAAGGGTGACATGACAAAGTGTGGCCTCTTACATACACAGCCCTTCTATTCCTGCTGTGCCTGGCCTCTGTGCCTTACCTTCGCTGGAAAGTATCTTCTTCTCCTTCCTTAGACTTTGTGCAAGCTACTATGTTCAGAGACCTGGAGAGAGTCAGGGCCATAGACCTCCTTGAGGTTCTCAGGTGCTTCTCTCAAAGGAACTCTCTTCTCTAAATCCACCAGCTCTGATGGGACCAGTTCTCTCTAGCTAAGCCCTCAGGCTGAGTTGAATCCCTCCCAGGGAGCAAAGTGAGATGACAAAATGAGAAGGCTAGGCCATGCCTTGTATCTAGGATAATTTCCAAATTTCTTGTCATGGATTCCAATATCCATCCCGCTCAGTTGACTTTGTCTTGGCCACAGGAGCTGCCCATTGCTCCATCTGGTCTCTCTCTCTCCTCCGGGCCTTGCGTTCGTTTGTATGTATTCCTCTACAGTCCTTTTGCACTTACTGAGCTTGCATCGTTCTTCCCCTGATATCCCACCCATATGTTGCTTCTTCCTCGTTGTTCAGGTCAGCCAACACTTGAGTTGCTTAGAAAGGCATCCAGGGACGATGCTCTCCTCAAGGCTCACGCAGCTCACACTCCCACTCTCATGGGGTCCTGTGGCATTTTTCATCACATCTGACCTCGTTTGGTTGTGTTGTTGTAGACTTTGTTGTTCTAGCTTTTGATTAATGCTATGCTTGATCTCTTGTTCAATAAACGAGTTTCCAAAATAATTCCAAGGACACAGTTAATGCTCAGTAAGGAATTTTAAAATGAATGAACAGATGAACGAATGAACATGTAAACGAGCATATTTATCCAGCATTCTACCATTGAGGCTCACTTTTCACACCCTAGACTCAGACTGCTTGGATTCAGACCTCTAGTCTGCCTTCAATAACAATGAATTCAAGAAAAGATAAACTTCCTAAGATTCAGCATCCTCATTGTGAAAGATGGTTCATGGTATGTCTCTGTCTTTCGGGTTTGCCTAACTGCAAATTAGGAGTCTAATTGCCACGTGCCCAGCGGACGTTTAGCACTTTATATATGCTTTATAATGTTATAATTATCATTATTTTAAAAATAACTTTTCAGCCGCTTAGGCATCACTGAGATTTTGGAATATTCCTTCTGGCCATAGCTTTTTTTCTTTTCCTTCCAGCTTCCAGGCCCTCTGGAAAGTCTCACTCTGGTGTTGTCTTGCTGTGCTGCAGGTTCACTCTGTATGCTGTGGATACTCGAGGGAGGCACTCAGAGCTCAGCACAGTGACCCTAAGGACAGCTTGTCCACTGGTGGACGACAACAAAGCAGAAGGTAGGTGATTCATCTGTGCCTTCTCCGGGGAAGTTCCACGTTTTTCTGTATCTGTAAGTCACTGACCACCAGAGAGAGGCGGAGTAAGGAGTGAAAGAACTAAAGAAGCAGAAATAACATAGAATTAAATTAATCATAATAATGGAGGAACAAATTAACATGGACTACGATATCTTTGTTGGTTGTCAGACTTACTCAGCCTTTGGCAAATAATGGTGAAGATAAGGGCCTGGTATTCTAGCCTTAGAAGCTTACCAGTTTCTTTTACTTGACTCAGAGTTGACAAGTCAGTGACACCTTGAAGACTACTTAATCTTTTTACTCCCCTAGTGACATTATCTTGTCATAGCACACTGCCACTTTCAACACAGTACGAGGTAGCTTCTGAATTAACCATATACTTAGACAACATGTAATATACAGTTTCTATATCTAGATTGGCAAACTATGGTGGTAGCTACAGGTCCTATGCTATACATTGTGCAGACATTTCCCTGATGACCTGGTACAATAAATGTAGTAGAGGCGAGTCTGTACCGTTTGAAAGTTGTCATTGTTGATAGAAAGACACACACTTTTATTGATTTAGCAAACAGCTTAGTGATAATGTTTTATTTGCTAATAGATAAGAGGAGTCAATGAGCTCCTGAGAGACAAGACAAAGGGATTTGTGACGTTTTCTAGATAGTTCCAATACTGTTTTAAAACAATGGATACACTGTTGAAAAAATGGAGTAGGAAATAGTACAAATTAGGTGCTTTTCTCATTCTAAGTCCAAGTGCCTTAGAATCTCCTGAGGTCAACTCATGATAACAATGAACCAGAGACACAAATTTTGATCAGAGCCGAAAGGATGTACCATCTCTTCATGATACATTTAAATCACATTGGTTAGTGGAATTTGGATGAGTAGGAATGGCCCTGAATGGCAATATGAAGCACCTGGACTTTGTTTACAAGAATAGCAAACTTAGATCTATCAGACCTGATTGCAGAAACACATTGGGAAGACTTCAGATCTGAGACAGAAGGAAGACATTGAGAGAAGGCAAGAATTTATTTAAGCCTTAACATTTCTTTGGGGGTTCTGATAAATCCTTAGCACAGAGCTATCACCGTTAACTGTAGCCTTTGAATGTCAAATTTCTGCCAGGCCCTGTGTTGAGCACTTTGCAGTTATTTTCTAACTTAGTTCTTCCAGAGAACCCCTGGAGGAGACATCCTTATCTTTAGTTACACATATGAAAACTGAGCTCAACTAGTCAGTGACATATTTCAGATGGAATGGAGATTCTTCTATCCCCAATGACAACGCAAGTGAACCCCTACCCAGCTATGCCTGCTTTATGTGAAACATGTGTCCATCACCCCTTTTTCCTCTACTGTGAGTAATGTGCTTTTTGCTTCTCCCCTCTCAGAGATAGCAGACAAGATCTACAATCTGTACAATGGTTACACCAGTGGCAAGGAACAGCAGACTGCTTACAACACACTGATGGAGGTCTCTGCCTCCATGCTCTTCCGAGTGCAGCACCACTACAACTCTCACTATGAAAAGTTTGGTGACTTTGTGTGGAGGAGTGAGGACGAACTAGGACCCAGGTATGGATTAAGGAGTGTGAATAGAAGACCAAATGCTTTCTGCCTCTCATTAATTTTCCTGGACCTTTGTTACCTACACTGACAATAGGCTGTGTCAGATGCATCAAGGTGGGTGGTGATGAATGCAGTCATGTCAGGATAAAGTGTGAAAAGCAAGAAGAGATAGCTGCTTACTGGAAATGCGTTGGATTAGAATAACATTGTGTCTTCTTGTAGAGTGAAAACCAGTGCTATCCGCCCTTAGCAGAAAAGTTACCCTAATCACTAATAAAATTACTCAAGATACTAGAACAACAAAAATGCAACAAAAGAGGCATATTGTTCAATTCTGGAAGAGCATGAAACTGCCCTGTGAAAATATTTTCAAAAGAAGTGTCAAGGACTGAACAGGACGTTGAGTGAGTAGGGAGGTAGAAAGAATCTAGGAAGAGTTGGAGAGAAAAAAGAATTTGGTCAAAATACATCATATAAAAAATAGCTTTAAAAAAAGGCACAGCATCCTTCAACCAAGATTTTTTGAAAGCAATTTGCAGGAGGGAAGAGACTGAAGGAGGGAATCTAAACACTTTTCCAAACACGACTCTCTGCTGTTTAACATGGGGTCTGGGATGTTCTTCAATACCAATCCAAATCCTTTCCCCTGCCCCACAGGAATTCTTTCTAAACATGGGGTGGGCACTCTGTTGGGAGGCACTAAAGGATTTCTGAGCATTTGGGGCAAAAGGCTTAACAGCAGGAGAGGAGAGATCAGCAGGGGCCATGTCTTGAATGCCCTTGAAGTAGGGTCCAGGAGTTCAGATAATCTCCTTGGGGTAATGGGCTGCGTTTCAAGTGTTTTTCACAGGAGTGTGTGGACAGTATTAGCAAATCTCACAGGGAGAAGAATTCCTCTGGCTGCAGCTGGAAGCAGGGAGCACAGGAGCGAAGGCCACCAGGAGCAGCCTGTAAGGCCTTCTACAGGCTACTGAAGTAGTGGCCCCAGGGTGCCCAGGCAGTATTCTCAGACAGGCAACAGGTAGCAGTGGAGAGAAATGTGTGATTTTCTGAAATACTTAGTAGGCAGCAGTCCATGCTTTGAAAATGTCCCCCGCAGGCCAATTGTTCCCATGTCTCAGTGATCACGAAGTGGAGATCCCATGTGGTTTAAGTGAACTTCCTAGAGTTACACAGAGTTAGCTGCACGTGGTGGCTAAAGCTGCCTGGAACTCCCATGCTGAGTCGAATTTGAAGCCATTCTGGAATGCTATGAGATTTGATGAGCACTTGTTCAAAGGAGAAAAAAGAGATCTCTCCTGCAGTGGGTCTTATCTGTTCTGTTGGGACCTGGACTGCAACTTCCTTCCTTTCACATGAAAAGAGGTTTCTTTAGATAAAAGCTAAAGGAAGATTGGTCAGCAGCAGTCAAGTCTCCGATGAAAACCATGTGAGTCACTTCAGTGCCATCTTACCCATGGACACAGAAAGGCATTCAGCTTTATTGGGCTTTCCCATAGGATGCAGAGGTTTTTGGAAGAAGCAAAACCAGAGCCTCACTCTTCTCTTGATAACCTGCTAACATCCTTTATGACCCTCCAAGACATAAATCTTCCAGAAAGGCTTTCTAGCCACTCATAGAGGCAAGGCTACTCATTTATCTGGTAATGGGCAGTGATAACTAACTAACCTCCAGACACCTGGTCCCCAGACACTGTCCACTAGTCCTTACACATGTTTCCCAGCTTCTCCTTCTCCGCTCTCTTTAGACCTCTGAAAGGTGATTTGAGAATCTTCTAGTGACCCACACTGGCATGTCAGCAAGAATCAAATGAGATAGGCTGCTTTGTTCTGTCCAGCTAGTTTATAAGATGATTAGAGTAACTTAATACAGCAATATTATCTTTCTCTCTCTCTCTCTCTCTCTCTCTCTCTCTCTCTCTCTCTCTCTCTCTCCCCTCTCTCCTCTCTCATCAGTGGAATTACTTTACTAAATAAAAGTTCTGCAGAACTCCAGGTATTAACTACAATGATATGCCCTTAGATAATTTATTAATTTATTAAATTCCCATATCTTTATTGTAGGCCAACCTTGTGTTTTAATTCTTTATGTCACATTCACTAGTTGTAGTATCTTATTGGCTTCTGTGTTTCCTAATGTAACACCTCTCCTCCTTACTACAAAACAGAAAATAGTTGCTACATTATTATTTAATGGTTAATTGGATAGTGGAACAACTCTGAATATGTGTATTGATGACTATGCATTCTGATCCAGCCCACCTTCTAAATGTCTTCTGTGTGCACACCCGCTAAACCTCAAGTGTCCCTCAATTTTCTCTGTGCTCTCAAGGATACATAGATTCCATTTGGGAATAATGGTGTCCAGAACTCTAAGGTCAAAAGAATGAAGTGACCTTCTAGACATTAAAGGACTTGACTTCATTAACAGATAGATTTACAGATACATTTTATGTAATAACTTATCAGGCCCTTTGCTGAGGGAGGAAATAAGAGACTAAAGCTGCTCAGACTATGTATATAGCTTAGCACATAGAGAAGAAACTAATGTTAACAGGCAAATATAGTGGAACATGCCGCAAGAAGCATGCTATGAGGGAGAATGAAAGGATGTGTGTAGCAGAGTATCTAAACTGTTAATGTGTAGCGTGTTAAAATTCCTGTCCACTCAGTGGGCCAGGAGGAACCTCAGAGTTTGCATTTTGAACACACAGTGTTGCTTGTCTAAAAAATACCCAATAGCGACAGAATCTGAGGTGTCAGGAGGTAGAGCAGCAAATGCAGACCCAACCCCAAGGAGAATCCCTGCCAAGGAAAAAGAAGCTAATGGTTAAAACCAAAGAATGAACAGCCTGCCAGGTGCAAGGGAGTCTGGGTGTTTCCATCAGGAAAAACCCAGTGCAGACCTGAGAGCAGTGGTGAGGTAAGAGAACATACACTGTCGTCAGGAGCTATAAATATCACGGAAACAGAGAGTTCAAGGTGAGAGAGAAAAGAGGAAAAGGGAAAACTCCAGGGCTGGAGAGTTTAACTGGGGTCAGATCTTGATGGCTTTTGTGAAGTCCTATTCAGAAGTTTGTTCTTTACCCCAGAAGTTATGTAAAGGCTTTTAAAGAGCAATTTGAATAAATTTTGTTGTGCCTCTCCAGGGTGTGCAGAACCAACCTGTAAAGGAGAGGGGGCAAGACACTGGTCTGGGCCAAGAGCCCAGGGTTCATGTCCTATCTTTGCCACCAATTTAATGTAAGACCTGGGAATCAATTCTACCGGCATTCTGGACCTCATTTGTAATGCTAAAGAGCTTGACTCTAAAGTCTCTTTCAGCTGGTGAGCCAAGAACAAGAAATCCCTGAAGGTCACAGACACCAGCAAATGAAGACAACATGAATGTCATTTTACCTCTAGCCTGACATCCTGTTTCTAGGGACCCGGGATGACTGGGGAGAAAAGACCTTTTCCCAAGAGTTGACACAAGATGAACCCTGTTAGAATTTTCTTGGCCTATATAAAATCCCCAACCTCAGATATTTCAACTCCTTCCTCAGTTTGGGTTTGCATACCCCCATAAAATTTAGGGCTAAAGGGCATCTCTTACCTTGGCCTAATAAATCTATCAGGCTAGTTTTCCCCAGAGCCTGGTTCTCATGACAACTATAGGTTACTGCAAACAGCTGCTCAGAGAAGACCCGCTGACACCCAGCTGTCCCACCATAAGGTTCCTATTAGGAGACTTGAAAAGCTGAGCTCATAGGTGGCCAGGGACCAGAATTTTCTCTGCTCAGAGCATCCTTGACCACTCTTTGAGCTTCACTGTACTTTCAGTTATGTTTGGTCAAATGAAAGGGCATTGAGAGGAGAGAAAACACTTGAAAAGATCTGATTTCAGAGAAATTGTTCTGTATGAGATAGAAATGATGTATTTATTTTGTCAGCCCTTCTATGGAAGACATTGCTAACAGAACAGAGAACTATCACAGGCTTTGTTCAACCTGAGATTTTTCTCAGCCTTAAAAGACAGATGCACCAACCTCATCTGAAAAGAGCTGGCACAACCATCTTTGTACCCTTAGTAAGAGTAAGTGAATCTAGAAACACACTCTAGAGTCTTCCAGGACTGTCTTGACTTAATCAATTAACTCTTTGCCAAGTCTCATGGGCTAAGTCTAGCAGTACATCCTTCTAATGCCAGCACCCAGGAGGCTGAGACAGGGGGATTTCAAGTTGGAATCTGTCATAGGCAACAAACCACAAAGTATTGTGGTTTAAATTAGAAGTGATCTCTGTGGCTTATGCATTTGAACACTTGGTTCCTAGCTGGCAGTGCTGTGAACAGGTTCTAGAACACTGCAGAGGTACAGCCCTGCTGGAAGGAGTGGCTGCGGGAAGCAGCAGTCTTTGAAGGTTCATTGCCTCTTCCCCACTTCCTGCTCTCCCTCTCTCTTCTTCCTGTGTGTGTAGAGGTGTGGTCTCTTCGCTTACTGCTCCTGCTACCCTGCTTTCTCACCATTATGGACTCCAGGCCTCTGGAGCCTCCGGTAATTTTATCACAGCAACAGAAAATAGCTGATATACACAGAAAGGCCCCATGTTGGAGAAAAAAAGAAATGAAGAAAACAGATCCCATGCTTTCTTATGAGGAAACACAGAGGAGAACCAACCACTGTAAACATTTACACTAATGATTAACATGTTGAGATGAATATCTACTAGAAATGCTTGCGTTCTGCTAGGTCAAGAGGTTAAGGCTAAATTTTGATGGAGGTTTACTCTAGAAGTACTCCTAATGAACTACTAAGAAGCCATGAGAGCATTTCAGCACACAAGCTCAATATACGTTAGTGCATTCGTGTTATCCAAGGGGAAATACTGATATTTCACTCCAACCTAAGTATAACTTATTTGACAGTGTACAAATCATACAAATGTACACAAAATACAAAGTAGAAATTGTGTATGTATGAACATTGTCATCCCAGCCTTACTTCAGAGGTAAAATTATTGACTGG